TGGCTGTTTTTATTTCCACTGAATGCAATATTTAAGGATAAATTTGTACATATCCCAGAAAAGGGGTTAATTCACCTCCTTCAGCTGATCTCCCAGAGAATTAAGATCTTTCCCTGTCCTTTAAAATCATCTGCCTCTATGGAACGTTTCAGCCTCCTAAAGGAGAACATAGCGCAGGGCCCAACATGACAGAGAAAACGACAGCAATATTTTAAAATCTTTACTGATTACAAAACAAAGCAGATGGCAAATCAAGTCATGAACTCTGCATCTGCCATGCTTAATGAACAGTTTCATTACCTAGTGCCGTTTCGGATGCATCTCTGCCATCGCAGGCTCTGGAAGTCACTTATATAGTTCACACTGACTCTTTTTGAGGCTATCTCCAGGAACATGTGGTTTGAGCAGCCGGCTGGAGTTGGTTAATCAATACTTATTTCATCTCTAACTTTTATGGTGATGGCCTGAATTATGTCTCAATAAAACAGATTTACTATCAGATCACATAATCTGGTTGAATACTCTGGAAAGGAAATGGATTTTTACAGCCTTTTCTCTTGGTAGCAGAGTACCCAAAGGCAGACAAATGTACAGATAGGAAATAAACAAAGCAAAACAACAAAATTCAGTACAATCAGATTAATTCGTTTGTTGTGTTATGCCTTATATGAAAGCAAGGGATGCAATTAGGACAGTCTACATTCACAAAATCTACAATTTGAGAAGCAAATTGCAATCATTTAGAATAAGTTACAAGAACTAACTGCAACTGTGCTTCACATTTGGAGTTCTTGCATACGCAAAAATGCAAGAGCCACCCTGCAGGATCACACACCGGCTGCCAACAGGCAGGACACTTGTCTCTGGTCAAACCTGCAGCACACGCCATGGGTTGCTATTACTCAGGTTGCAACTTCATGCAGTTACGACTGCCCAGCTTTGCACACAGAAGAAATAACTGCTCTAAGGAATCACTAAACTGCTCAAACGCAGGTGAGGAAGTTGATCGCCTCTAAGTAAACAACAGAGCTAAGGGCTGTCTCCCTACCGGTAAAATACTGAAGATAGAAGAGGGTGATCGTGGTAGGAAGATCCGTGCAAACTAGCTTTTGATGCACCACAGCAGAAGGCTTTGGGAACCCCAAAGTGTGCCTTTACTGCTTTTCTCCAGCCTCAGCTCTGTCCATTTGTGCCCCTGCAAAGCTGCCCTCCAGCAGCAAATAGACCAGAGCTTTGTTTTCATTACATGCCAACTCCATCAGCTGCTTGCATTCAGAAGAGGGTTTTCAGAAAGAGTTTTTCATTTTGCAAGACCTACTTGTCATGTGAAATCACCAAAAAGATTCAGATTTTAGTCACTCAGTAGAAGTGGCTTTTCTTTCAATAAGTCAACCTCATAAAGACAGACCACAAGTTCTGTGCAAAGCTCTCAGAAAAGAGAAACATTCACAAGCTTAAGGACAACACAAACATCAAATACAAAATTGTGTAAGTAAACATAGCATTCAAAGACAATATAGCAGTAAATCAAGGAGGAAAAAGGACATAGCAGATGGAGACTAAAGCTCTCCTCAGAATTTCACATATCTCCCACTAGTGCTGTATTGGAAGTACCTTGGGTATTAGAGCAAAGATGAAAGATTTCCATAAGACTTTGAGCAAAGTCAAAGAAAAAGACACCACAACAGGCAGCAGAACCCAGAGCGGGATTCTAACGCACAAAAGTAAAGAAATATATCCCTTCAAATATTAATTTCTTTTTCAGCACCATAAGTGAATAGAGTGACATTCTAGGAGATAGCCATCAATTTCTGAAAACCACTAGAGTGTCCACATCTAGTCTTCACATTTCATTGAAAGCATGCATATTAAAATACAAGAAGTACTTCTCTGATTTACAAGGACATGCAGCAGAAAGTGATAAACTAACAGGTTCTAAAGAGTAGATTTTCAACAGCAATAGCCAGCATATAGCTCCCATCCCAGCCCACTGTCAGAGGTGGAATTAATTGGGGTGGACCACTGCACTAGCAAGTCAAAGGCTGAAGAATGCTTGTTCTTTAAGCCTGCCAAGGAAGAGAGATTTACAGTGATTCATAAGTAGTATCCTAGACTGACAATTGTGCTAATTCCAATTATTAAGCTAACTGGAAAGGCCCAAGTAAGGTCAAGAAAGCTCAAAAGAAGCAAATGAGGCGAGGAACCAAGCAACGGAGGGAGAAGTTAAGTGCGCTCAAATGGAAATACAAGAGCAACCAAGTAAGATCGAGAGGCTGTGGCATGTACAGAATGAACAAGACTAAGCAAATGAGACAGAATCTGTGAAAGTCAAAAAACATTGCTTGGAACTTGAGAAAGAATGCTAAAGCCATAAGGGACAGCTGCGAAGGAATCAGATCAACAAAGCAGGTAGCTCTTGGGCGTTCCTGGCGAGCATGAAGGGGTATTTTTGTTACTTAAATGTTAGATACTGCTGTCATAAAATGAAGAACAGCTTATCCTTTTCAACCCCTTTTTAAAAATATATTCAAGATCTGTGATTTCCAGGTTATAACTTGATCCCAAAGAAAGGGTAATTGTCACTGCATTAAACTTGTGCTGTAAAACTTGTCTGATGTCTTTCAATCCTTACTTGCTCAGCAGAAGGGAACAGATTCATTGCCCTACAAGAAGGTCAAATATGGACAAATACAACAATCACTGTCAGAAGCAAGAGGGATTCAATCAAATGTAAGTCTCCCCCAAATTAGATTTTTCACAGTGCTATTTAACAAGACACAAAGATTCAATAGAGAGAGCTCATCTTTTCCACTCTCAAATTACATAGACAGAAGCACAGTCTACTACTGATGCCACTAATTAGATGATTAAATACCATTCTAGGTGATATGCTTTCAATGTAAAATAATTATTTTTAACAGGCAATATATTTGCTCAATCTCATTTTAAATCATAATATCATACTTTTTTAATTAAATTAAATTCCTTCTTCTGATTTTGCATGAGAAGAGTAACCAGTGGGAGAAACAGTGCAAAGGATAGAATACCCAAGTACCATAATACGTGAACTTCTTCACAAAGGACCCTAGCATTCCCGAGATAAAATATAATTTTATATAGTTTTTCAGAGACTAGCTAAGCCTTTATTCCTTTAAAATAGGTCATATGAGGAATTATATAGCACACTGAAAACTTCCAATGTCAAAACACAAGTTTATTTGCTATGGTCTGATGAAGGACATTTCAAAGTTTTCCTCTCTTCCTCTATTGAGGCAGGGGGGAAGAGCATAGCAAACAAATCAAGGGTTTTTTTTTTTCTTTCTCTCTATATAAATTAGAATACAACCCGCCACATGACAAAAGTACTGTAGTCTTTTTGTCTAGTACTTAAGGAAAAGCACTGACATTTTGTGTTCTATGACAAACATGTTTCTGCTGAGGACTGGAAATAACAAAAGGAATAGTTTAGAAGCCTTCTGAGAAGCTTCCTTCAGGGCTGAAATGCCTAGGGCAATGTTAGACAGCTGAGAAGGTTATGCTAGAAAGGATTTTTATCAGGTGCTGTGTCATACCCAGTCATGCCAGCGCCAAAGGAGAACAGTATGGAGGGCTGGCTGCTTGCTTGGGGTTTTAGTAAGACTGAGGAGAATAAATTTCTTCTCTGTTTCCAAGAAGAGGGTTTGGGCCACCCGCTCAGAAGGCTGTGCCTGCCTCAGTGCATTCAGAAAAGCGAAGGCAGTTCTTTCTTCTTCTCACTCACATGACCCTTCATGGCATCAAAATCTGCAGCCAGAAAATCTGAAATAATACCCTCTTGAAAACAGCCGTTTCACGCTCCAAGAAGACCTGCTTAGCACACCATACATCACAGAGTCGTTGGCTCAACACTAAGAAAGAATTATACTGAACTAGGTGTAGTACAATTACAGCCAAACAAAATGCTTTACTCAACACTGAAAATTAAAGCCTAAAACACGAGCAAGAAAACAGCTCCTTTCCCTCTTGCTCAGACATTCCCATCACGTCAGCAAGAGTTACTCTAGCCAGGTACTCAAGTAAAATAAGTCTTTTGTCTAGGAAAGTCATACCAGCATCTTCCTCCCTGTACACTGATGTGCCCAGCTTCCCTGCGCTGACCTACAACATACAATCCCAGGTCTTCCCCCTCCTGCCTCTCTCACCCCAACTATTTGAGTCTGAGCGCATGTGCATACGTGAACTTATTTACATGAGCAGTTTTCTCACGACAGGCAGATTGCTCAGAGGAGCGAAGTCTGTGGCGAGGAATACTTTTGGAAGGGGAAGTACATATTCTTCTGACCACAGAATTACTATTCCCTTTGGGGAAAAGGACGCTCTCAGAACGTAATATAAACTTTTCAATGCTCTACAGACTTTTTTTTTGAATTATTGTACAGAATTTCATCAGGGAAGCATACCTGATATACGATAATGCAGAATTCTTCGAAATGTCCTATAGAGAGAATCCTAAGATGTATTTTCAATTTACTGGTCTAGTGCCTACCATTACATTCCAAGAGACTTTTGGCGTAAGAGGAAGGTGATTCTCTTATTTTCTGTAAATTGTTTTCCCACAGGAAGAGCTGACAAGGTGCAGCGATTTCCTTCTCTTCAGGAAAGGCGGTGAGGCAGCCAGAGCCATTATAAATTCCCCTCAGCAGCTCAAAACACTCTAGCGACAGGATTCAATTCTCTGCCCTCGTACAAATGCCAAGCATGAGACTAAGTTGCATATCACCAGCACAGGAGGAGCCCAAATAGGGAGCACGCTAGCAAAGCCCTATGATGCACTAGGACATTTATTCTAAAGCAGCTGTAAAGACAAGTGTCATGTCACTGTTGCAGCACTGCTATGCAAAGACCACAGAACAACTTTGCAGTGCCTGCTGCCAAGGTGAACGAAGAACAGCTAACGAGGGCTGCGTCAAAAGGAAAGCAGTAAGGACACGTGCTTTCCCCGACACTATCTAGGAACTCACCTTGGTGAGCAGCAGCACACGCTTCTGCAGCCGCCTGACCAGGGCTTCGTGCTGCTCACGCTTCTTCTTCTCATCCAGCAGCTGGCTCTGAACCCGTATTATTTCTTCCTGTAGCTGCTGCCGGGCCTTCTCCAGTATTCTGGCACTAAGACAGACAAGACAGGCCTGTGAAATTGTAGCCACCGTCTCTTAGACAAATCAGAAGCACTTGAGAGGAGAAGCAGCAGCACAATACTAGGACAGTGGGCTCATGCCATTTCATCTATATGGCTGCTCCACTGGTCCCCAAGTAACTGCAGTCTCATTATCAGCTTTTCTCAAAAAAAGATCATGAGAGAAAAACCACCCCGTGACAGTCTTCTTGTTCAGCACAAAGCAATTACTGGAACCTCATATATACAAGGCACGTAAATAATTACGTATATATTTCAAAATAAACCAATTTGCCTTTGAGAAGATTTTCAAACAGTCTAATATCTCAGGTTCTACTGTATCTTTTCATCTTTTCTAACAAAGTAGAAGTAAAATGGAGGTTTAATATGATTTGCTTTGACAGACAGATAATATTCAGCTAGTAATTATAGCCACCACCTGCACACTGCTCTTGCCAGCAACCTCTATTGGAAAAGAAATGTCTTCTGAGGCCAGGCAATTAGCACTTATTTTGCAATGTGGACAGGACTCTCAATTAAGCCAGTATAGCTTGGTCCCCCGTCTTCTCGGCTCTCTGTGCAGCGTGACACAGTGAAGGACATAACTTGGAGATATTCTCCACACACATCCTCTGGGCACCCAGTGTGCTGCGGGACACTAATGGGCAGCTGTCCCAAGGCACTCATCAAGCAGCCCATCACGGATCGAGTACGCTGGCAAAGCACTTGGTCAACACCAAGACAAGTGAAATAATTCTTCTGTCAGTTCATAGTTACTGTTACAAGTTTTATTCAAGACTGCAAAGATGCACCACGTTTAAGTACTGAAGGAGTGAGCAGGACGTGAAAAAAAAGTATTGTGCACAAGTCAAAAACCTTCAAGCAAGCTAGAAAGATTAAAACTAACATCGCCAACATACTCTGATACAGAAGATCTTTGTTTTTCTGAAGACAAGAACAACACTCGAAAATTTATCAGTGCTTCTGAGGGGTATTCTTTATTGTCATAAATAAAAATGCTTTCAAATAAAACATGACTATTTTTCAGGTACTGTCTAGCTAGATCAGAAAAGTAACGCTGTCTTAAAAGACAGTCTTAGCCTAAATTATGCACATCCTACACTGCCAGGTCCCCAAATTTTACTACTCAGGACATTTATGTAGGAATTCACCAAAATCCTCAAGCAGCTGTTCCCCTACCCCAAAATCTTCCGCTCTGAAGACAAATATGCACTTTAAAACACCAGATAAATTAGAAGACAGTATAATGCTCCAATTCAATTTGGAACCATTCACAGACCAATTTAATAATCAGAGACTGTGAAACAGGCTCTTCGTTGTTGTATTCAGGTGGGGAAGTTCATCAAGAGGGCTTTAAATCTGCATTTGAAAATGGATAATTTAATTCCTAGAGCATCACTCTTCCTTTGGTTCTGTTTTAATCAATCGGTTACAAAAGGAAGCTGTGCCCAACAGCAGTATTTGTGGTGAAGGAACATGAAGGATGCCTACCTTTCGCTGAACACTCCCTTCTCCACCACAGCCTCCATAACCCAAAATAAGCCTCATGGATTCTTAATGGAAAAGACTAGTCTTTTTCTTACTCAACAATACAAGGATTCCACAGCACAAAAGAGAGAATCAGTTCTTGCTGGAGTCTACAAAATAAATCTATACTCAAAATTTTTCCTAGAAGCTAACGTCCAAAAAGGGCAAACGGCCGATTCAGACCTCTCATCCTGTTAAAGAGAGGATGGAATTATGTGGTATAACCGTGACGTCAAATATCATAAGCACACATATGTAAGCACTCAACAAGTATTTACATACAATGCATGCAAAATGCATCATTCAGGGGTTATGGATGGCAAACTGTAAAGTTACCCACCACCGCTTTCCAGCCCATCTGTTGGAGGTTGCCATCTTGAAGCAAAATCAGTAAATTCAACCATGCTCTCACTTACTGCAGTTCACAATATAGCATCTCGCTTTAAACATACCTTCAGGGACAACTAGGGTGACAGTAACTTCCAGTAGATGGACACAACTTGGGTGACACCTTAAAACGCAACAGCAAGATTCATCACACCACACCTCTCAAAATCCTTAGCTTAAAAAGCTCATCCTCCTTTGCCTGGGACTAAGACCAGGCAGAAACAGCCAAAGGACATGTGCCAGCCTGCTGGGTCTGCAGCAGGTCCATCTCCAATATGGGAGAATGGATGGGTGGGAGCGTGTAACTTCAGCCACCACCATAAGATTAATTACAGTTTATTCAACAATATCCTTTTTTAATGCAAAGTGTAAACGCAAGTACAAAATCCCATCAACGGCATTGTGATGAATTAAGTCATCCTATAGAAACCTTATAGCAAATATTATTTGCTCTGTCAAAGAAACTTAGTTCTGATTAGAGTCAGAACAGACAAAAACATGCAAACATAGGATTCAATACTACAAAACAGCCAAAATCTCGCATTTGATTATTGCGAAACATTTTTATAGGACAACGGAGAGATCTTTTTTTTTCCTAATCTGCCAATATCATGACCTATTTCCATAAATTCTGAGTACACTGATGGATTAGGCTTGAGTTGATATTCAAAATGAAAAATGGGCTATGTGCTAGGTTTCCTTCTATGAAAAAAGATTGGAAAGTCGCATCTCACGGAGAACACAGATATTCAACCACATACACACTTCTCAAACTAGCTGGGAACATGACTGTGCTAAAAAAAATGAGGAAAGTTTAGCAAAGGGAGACAAACAGGCAATTTTTTCAGCCATTCAATGCTGCTTGGAAGGAAAATACTACAGGCCTGTTTATTCTTTCAGCCTCAGATCAAATGTGATGTTAATGCTGATAAAACTTAAATGCCAGAGACGACTCTGAAAGCAACAGCAATGCTTAACCTCTCTGAACTGAGCCTGTTACCATAGGTTTCTTTGCTATAGAGTGTGAAATTCAACCTCCTTGCAACTCTCCACACCATGCCAGAGCAAATTATCGAGATCCTTTCTTTCTCTTTCAGGACAGATTGATTCCAGAAACCGCACCAAATATAGCACAAAACAATCCCTGGGGAAAAAAAAAAGAAGAAAGTTATGTTCCTCAGTGACACAAACAGGATTTGAAAGCAGGTACTTAGCAGCAAATACCGCTATGTTAGAAATGGGCATCCTTCTTCCATATCGGTGACACCTACGGCTTTTCAAACAGTAATTGCTTGCTCAAACCAAACATAAAAAAAAAAAAAAAGGCAATGAAAAATTAGACCCAAAGTTCTCAGTTCAACACAAGCTCAGAGAACTGGCATTTTAAAAAATCTTTGCAAGTTCAAAGTAAACCCTTTAAGCCTTAAAGAGAAAAAGTCATTTCTGTTTATCAGGCTATTAACGTTCCTCGTTCCCCATCGGAGGGAATAAGATGCCAACATCTTTCTGTTCTGAGCTATTGACACTCTTCACTTTTTGCTCTTCCCTTCTATAATCCACTTTAACGTAATCTTAATGATAAAACTTCATTTTCCAGAATGTTCTTTGAAAGACAGAGAACAATGACGGAAGATAGTGAATACTGAAGCTATAAGATACATTTTAATAATCTCCTGCAAGAAAAATTACAAAAGCAGCTGACAGCTTTTTTTTTTTTTTAAAACGATCCTTAGAACATATTTTTTTTAATTGCTCTGTCCCTTCAGTAACCAACTTACCCCCTCCCAGAGGTTTGAAAAGTCATGGGGAAAGCAGAGAGGATGCCAGAAATAGACTGTGTATCAACCGGGAGGAAAACCAAAGTCTGCGGGAACAATTAGAAGAGCAACACCACCTGGGTCATGTGGCAGCTCAAGAGCAGAAGAGACGCATGCACAAACCAGGGACAGCTGTCAGAAGCGAGAATTATCTCCAAGAGAAAACAGTGTGGACCAGAGAGCGTGGCGGTGAAAGAACACCAAAGCAGCATGGAGGGAAGACGCAGTGACAGCACTACAGCACAGGTATCACAGAGAAGAGCATCGCGCTGCACTATCAACAGCCGCATGACACAGACCGAAATGAAAAGGTTAGTAAACAGGCTAATGAGGCAAGAAGGAGCAAGGGAAATTGTTCTGCAGCAAGACATCTGGAGGAGGAAAACTCTTATCCGTGTTTGAGGCCCGACAACCTGCATCCTTCTCAAGGTTCCTAACATTTATAAACAGTACACACAAGAGACTCAAACCATCCTGGCAACTGATAAACAGAGAGCTTGAATAAAATGTAATTCTGCGCTCCATTTCTTCTCCCCCCAAGTTTTATAAGCCAACACTAAGGCATAAATAGCAATAGGATAACTCCATGGTGCTTTCACATTGACCGGCTGATAGCAGCAGAAAATCCTTGTCCGTGACCTTCCTGAAGAAGCCACTGAGGTCTCCAGTGGCTGACACAGACTTTGCTTCCCCCTGCAGTCTCTGCGTGAACTGCCGTGATGGGAAAACAGCGACCCCGTTACACCTTGGGACAGGAATTAAAAAGGAGAAACAGAAGGGAAAAGATAACAACAAAAATAATAAGACCAAAAAATAAAAAAGGGAAAGGTCAGAAAGATGACCTGTAGGTATGGCTTGGCAAAATAGAAAATTTTTCATCTTTTGTTACAAAAGAAAAAAAATGGGGAAAAAAAAAACAAAAAAACAGACGCTCCTGAAAAGACTGGAGGAAAGAAAAGACAAAGTGAAAAGGAGAAGAGAAAAAGCTATCAAAGTACTGCTGGAGAACTTGCCTAAATTTACTAACTTAAGGTAAGTAAACAGAAAAAAGCAGGCAACAAGGAGGAGGAGGCGATTTTAGTGGTACAAGCCTTCCAGCTTCGAAGCCAAAGGTGCTAATTTTCGTTAAAATAAATTTTTTTGGCATTTTATTCTGCTTGCTTTCTTCTGTACCTACAGAATTGAGAATAAACTGAAAGAGCAGGATCCGTTCCCTGATTGCAAACCTTGTGCCAACACTG